TTCCTGCCGAGCAGGGAGCCCGATGTGGGACTCGATCCCAGGACCCTGGGATCATGACCTGAGCTGAAGGCAGACGCTTAACGACTGAGCTGCCCAGGCACCCTCTAGACCTGCACTTCTAAGCTGTATTCCGTTCTTCTCTGCATCTGTCCTGTGCCAAGACCACCCTGTCTTGGTTACTGTAGCTTTGTAGTAAGCTTTGAAATCAGGTCGTGTGATAGCGTAGTTGTTCAGCTTTGTTCTTTTCTGAGATTATTTGGCTTTTCTGTGTCCCATGTGAATTTTAGGATCAGCTCATCAATTTCTGCAAAGAAGCCAGCTGGGATGTTAGTAGGGATTCCATTAAATAATTTTTTTTAAAATTTTATTTATTTTTGAGAGAGAGAGAACGACAGAGAGAGAGAGAATGAAAGGGGTGAGGGTCAGAGGGAGAAGCAGACTCTCCGCTAAGCAGGGAGCCCTATGTGGGACTCGATCCCGGGACTCCAGGATCATGACCTGAGCCGAAGGCAGTCGCTTAACAACTGAGCCACCCAGGCGCCCCTTGAATAATTTTTAAAATTTGTTAAATTTTGAACTTAAGTAATTTAAAAACCTAACACTCTATCTGGCTTGGAGGTAACTTTGGTTGAAGTGAGCAGGTGGGCTCTAGATCAGGTAGTTTCCCAGTTGTTAACCAGTTAGTCCACTGCTGTCTTTTTTGAGAAACTTGTTTATTTTTATCAACTGTAACTTTTTCTTTTTGAAATAGGCTCCGCACCCAGTGGGGAGCTCAACACCAGGCTTGAGCTCATGACCCCGAGATCATGACCTGAGCTGAGCTCAAAGAGTCGGGCGCTCAACCGACGGAGCCACCCAGGCACCCTCAGCTGTAACTCTTATGTGTAGCTAACAGTTCCTGGAGTCTTCTTTCCATGAAGTTCTACTTCATGCTCTAGGACTATTAGCTTAAAATTCTATTTAGTTGTGGGATCCAGTCTTAAGTCAGTCTGTGTGTTCAAGCCCTGAGTACCTTCTGTGTGTCCAGCTTTGTATGAGGTGTGGGTAGGTGATTAGGCAAGGAGTTCTGGATGCGGACACCGTGGTCAAAGAGTTTGGACTGGCTTCCTCTGTGGGCTGGTGTTGGCTGCAGGTGGCATTGAGGTTGGGCAGTGATGGGAAGGCCAACTGGCTGTGGCAGGGGTGGTTGGAGATTCACTCAGTGCTGACAGAGGAGAGTGAGGGCAGATAGGAGCTGGATGGTGGGGTTGCTGGGCACATGGGACGAGGGGTGGGGGCTGGGATTTGAGCAGGGAAGGGACTTAGGAGAGGAGAACAGTGGCCTCAACCCCGTGGCAGAATGTCAGATGGCTTGCCCTGTACTTGGTGTTAACACTTTAGTTCATACATTTAGGAAAAGTGAGCCACTCTGAGTCTTACCTCTTTTTCCTGTGTCCACCAGTATGACACTGTTCCAATTCAGTCCAGCGTGGTGTTATGTGCTTGCCCATCCCCATCAATGGTGAGGACCCAGACTGAGTCCGGCATAGCCCCTGGCATTCCCAGCGGTGGTAGCAGACAGGGCCCCACCATGGACAGCACCGCGGCTGAGGCCCGGCCGAGCACCAACTCACTGCAGCACACCACACAGCCGCCACCACAGCCTCGGAAGAAACGGCCTGAAGACTTCAAGTTTGGGAAAATTCTTGGTGAAGGCTCTTTTTCCACAGTGAGTACCTGCCGCTGCTCTTTCTTGAACAAGTGTATTTTCCTTGGGAAGGCTGACTTTTCTCAGGGCTTGTAGCTAGGGGACCCCGTTACCAGGGCGGTGTTCTTCCCCAGGCAAGGGTCTCAGGTCCCTCCAGGGTTCTACTCCGGTTTTGAGGGTGATTTGGGGCCGCCTACCACCAAGTAAATCACGTGGTTAAAATACCTAAGCTGTGACTTTGTAGATGAAAGCTTTAAAAGGCATCTATCTGTTGATCTTTCTGTTTGTTTTGGTTTGGTTTTTGATGCAGTTAATTTTTATTCTAACCAGTCATCAAGAGATTCCATCTTGTGTCCTTGTGTCCCATTAGCAAGGTCTTAGGAAGCTTTTCTGTCCCTTCGTTTGGAAGTGTCAGTATCAATATCTCTTCAGAGCTTTTGGGAAACATTTAACGACCTTTACTATTTCTCTGTTATTTAAAACAATATATAAAACAGCACAGCCTTGACCCCTGCTAGAGGTGCAGCCCCAGACCTGCTGGCCTCCGAGTTCTCGTGGCCTCGGTTTCAGTCAGTACCTCTGTTTGCTACCTGAGTGAGTTGTGCCTGTCTTGTGGCATTTTTCCTTTTCCAGCAAAGAAATGAAGGTTCAGAGCAGCCCCTTTGCTGAGGTGGGAGCCCCACGTGGCTGTGATGGGGCCGGGGGCTTGCACAGGCTGGGGGGAGACCCAAGCACCAGCGTGCCCTGCGAATGGCCAGGGCCTTCTTGCCCGGCCTCTGGGAAGAAACCTTATGTGAAACATTTTTCCCTTTTCTCTTTTTACATTCATGAAATGTTGCAAAATAAAAAGAACATGAAGTTTTATAGCTCACCCATATTCTCAACTTAGTTTTAATCAATGTTAACTTTTTGCTCCCCATATATATATATATTTTTTTTTTTAAAGATTTTATTTATTTATTTATTTATTTATTTGAGAGAGAGGGAGCATGAGTGTGTGTGCACAAACGGGGAGAGGCAGAGGGAGAAGCAGACTCCCGCTGAGCAGGGAGCCCGATGCAGGGCCCCATCCTAGGACCCCCCAGGTCATGACCTGAGCCAAAGGCAGATGCTTCACCAGCTGAGCTACCCAGGAGCCTCCCCTTACATTTTTAATTTAGATTTTTTATTGGCAGTTTCTGTTTAAATTATGAAAGACTTGTGCTCTTGTGATAAAAATCTTCAACTATGAGGATAGTACCCAGTAGTTCTGGTCCTCACAGATCCTCTCAGAAAGAAGAAACTAGGGGCGCCTGGGTGGCTCAGTCGTTAAGCATCTGCCTTCGGCTCAGGTCATGATCCCAGGGTCCTGGGATTGAGCCCCCCATCGGGCTCCCTGCTCAGCGGGAAGTCTTCTTCTGCCTCTCCCACCCCCCCTCCTTGTGTTCCCTCTCTTGCTATGTCTCTGTCTAAATAAATAAATAAAATCTTAAAAAAAAAGAAAGAAAGAAAGAAGAAACCATTTTGAAAAGAACCTGGGTGTTCTGCACATTTACTTAAAATAGTCCAGTAAGAGAAGTAGTGTTCTCTCCCTCTCTGTTTTACCTCATGGACATTTATCCTGACTAGTAAATGAGGGCTTATTTGTGAAACTCCCCCTTGTCCGTGGGTCTGCACAGCGGGTGAAAGTAGGCACCACCCATTCTGGATGATGCCCTCCTAATGTTGAAAAGCCCCGGCTATAGTTTTTGTCACCCCTGTGCCTTTTGAACCCAGGTGCCAGGGAAAAGCACCATGAGTTGGAGGCTCCTTCCTGGCGCTTTGTGGCATCCTGCAGCTCTGGGTCTCAGGTTATATGTGCTACCCTCAGGTCTTTTTCATCACTCCTGAAATAGAGACCACTTAAAATTAGATTTCCAGGGGAGGGTGGAGGACAAACGGCCGTTCCCAGGCTGGGCAGGATCTGCACTTGGCCGAGCCTGGCCCTGGAGAGTGGGGAGGCCTGGCCTGCTGCTGCCTGGCCTCCTGGGGATGATCTTGACGTCCAGATTGGCTCTGCTGTTGGCCCCTGTGACGTGGAGGGATGCGTCATGCCTTGTTCCCTGGAAGAGGGATACTCCCTGCCCTGTGCCCATAAAGAAACCTGCATGTGAAATGTTGAATTCATACAACGGAAAGATTTCCTAAGTACCTCCTTCAGAAAGGATCCCATTAATTATTAGTACTTTCTTTTTTTTTTTTTTTAAGATTTTATTTTTTGACAGAGAGAGACACAGCGAGAGAGGGAACACAAGCAGGGGGAGTGGGAGAGGGAGAAGCAGGCTTCCCGCGGAGCAGGGATCCTGATGGAGGGCTCGATCCCAGGACCCTGGAATCATGACCTTAAGCAGACGCTTAACGACTGAGCCACCCAGGCACCCAATTATTAGTACTTTCTAATAGTTTTTTTCTTGCCCTTTCCTACTAGGTAGCTAGTACGTGCTCCTGTGAAGAAATGTAATATTTCATAAACACATAACCTAGGGAGGGGTGTCTTTCCCCAGCCCCTCCCCATCACCTCCCAGTGCTTGAGAACAGTCCACATAAGTGTATTCCTCCAGAAAGATCTCTGAGATCTTTCCACTTGAGCACATATAATCCAGCCCCATTCTTCTTAATCACTGCAGTGCGTTTCACATGGTGCTTTCCCAGGATCACTTCTGGTGAGTCTCCTGGAGAATTCTGTAATGGGATGAACATGACCTGTGGCCTCCGAAGGTCCTCCCTGGAGACCCAGGAATCCCCCAGGATTTGGGCAGGTTTCCGTCTGCACTCTGGTCCTCAGGCCGTCCTTCCTGCACGTGTCTTAGGAGGGGCATCATCCGCCTCAGCTGGCTGTGGTAGGTGGGGGCTGCCTCAGCTCCCCAGCCAACTGGCCTCATCTGGCATGTGGAACTTGGTGCTCAGTTGTGCCCAGGGGTTGCTCATGTAGAAATCTTTTTTCCATGTTGTGCTGTGCCCTGTTGGCTCTCTGTCCCCCCAGTGGAGTGTGAGTACAAGCCTTAGGTGTGCTACCGAGAAAGTCCACCAAGAGTGGGACTGCACCCTGGGCAGGAGGTGCGGCTGGTGGGAGGCGCTCTCTGTGAGCCCCATGGGCCTCCTTGTGCCCTTGATGGCAGGGACAGTGCTTAGTGTACCTGAGTGCAGCATCAACTGAAATGTATGGTCACAGTTATTTGAAAAAGCCCAAATTCAGGGTGGCTTTACAATGAACATATACTGAGAACATATTCTAAAAGTTATTTTTTGAAGGAATTCCCAGGACCCATCTGAGCTATTATTTGCTGTTTCTTTGTACTGTTTGTGAGGGTTACATTAGTCCAAGATGTTCCTGAATCTATACTTCACTGCACCATGGGAACGTAGCAGCTGATGGAGAACCTTCTGAAGGCAGTTGATTGATCTATGCATTTCCTGTTTATTGGAACACATTAACTTCATTATTAACATCCAGCCAAATTTGTTAGCACAGGACCAGTATATTTGAATGTAATTTCAAATATTTAAATGTAATTTCATGGTGGGGGCACGTTAGCCTGTGTGGTCAGCTGCAAGGTGAGAGTCGATGCCTGGGTTATACTGAGTGTTTTTTCTCTTCTCTTTCCCCCTTTTCTTCCCAAACCAGGTTGTCCTGGCCCGAGAACTGGCAACCTCAAGGGAATATGCTAGTAAGTACTAAGTCCAGGGGGCTGTGTGTCTGGGATGCAGGGTAGGTCATGTGTTGACACGTGGCTGCCATGCTGCCTAGCACCTGGAGGTTCTATGCTGATTTCAGGGGTGGGACGCTGGTGGTCTTAGAGACCACAGAGCTGGTGGGTAGGTTTTGTGAAAAACTTTAATTTGTATCAGTTACCTTTATGAGTTGTTTTTTTTTTTTTTTTTTTTACAATTATCAATCGTAGTAACTTGCTTTTCTCTTACTTTAAGTTAAAATTCTAGAGAAACGTCACATTATCAAAGAGAACAAGGTCCCGTATGTAACCAGAGAGAGAGACGTGATGTCACGCCTGGATCACCCGTTCTTTGTTAAACTTTACTTCACATTTCAGGATGATGAAAAGCTGTGTATCCTTTGAACAGTCAGAGCCTTCTGAAATCACACCGGTGACCCCGTACTGTTGAATCATGACCCCATTGTGTATTTTCACAAGTCGTTCCTTCCCTGGAAAGGACAAGGGTGGCATATTCTTTTTTTTTTTTTTTTTTAAGATTTTATTTATTTATTTGGCAAGAGAGGGAACACAAGCAGGGGGAGTGGGAGAGGGAGAAGCAGACCTTCTGCGGAGCAGGGAGCCCGATGCGGGGCTCGATCCCAGAACCCCGGGATCATGACCTGAGCTGAAGACAGACGCCCAACGACTGAGCCACCTAGGCGCCCCAAGGGTGGCATATTCTAAATACGAATGAATTCACATCACTTTGCTTTGGGAGCCCCTGGGATTGCTGATGTTCACTGAAGTAGAATGTTACTTCAAAAGAAATCATCACAAATCTTTTTTGAGGTTTTTTGTTCATAAGCATTGTATTTAAAGGATTATTATTATTTTAACTCCATGGTTGCTGGACATTTATTCAAAGGCATTCCCTTATTCCTCTAACTGGTATCCTTGGAATATCCATCAAGTGTCAAGTCCTCTGCTCAAAGCAGGGAAGTGAGGGAGGAAGAAGGATCTTGGGCATCCAGGGCCCCTCTCTGCCCTCTTTGGCCCAGGGGTATGGGATTTGGTTGGAAGGGACATCTTTACCAGGGTTAGCCCCCAAGTGAGAAGTCCAGGGAGCCACCCACAGGAGCCCAAACTCTTTCCCACAGTACCCAGAACACTGTCCTCCCCAGGCCCTCCAGCCTCCCTCCCTTCTTCCTCCCCTCCGCCCTTCCCGTGGCCCCCGCCCCAGTCTGCTCTCTGCCTGTGGATAGCTCTGATCACCCAGTGCCTCTGGCTCTCCAGCAAGGCTGTCACACCTCATTGATTGCTTCTTCTGCTCCCTGATTTCTCCACTAACCCCTGGAGCAATGTTTTTTCCCTTCTTTTACCTTTCCTTAGTGAGCAGGGCAGGCAGGGCACCATGGTGGCCAGGGTAGGCCACACTGTGTTGTCTAGCTTGTCCCAGGGCTTTCCCATCACGTGGCCTGGCTGTCCAGTTTCTCCTCACTCCACAGCCCTTTCCTGTAGTTTTTGCCAACCAGGACCTCCCCAGCCCCTCTGTGCCCCAGCAACTCTGTCCCCAGTCCCAGCAGATGCTCTTCTGGTTTCTGCTCCCCTGAGAGAGGTCAGCTGTCAAATGGAGTTGCCTCGGGGCTTGTTCAGGCCTAAACCTCAGTCTTGGCCTTAGTTCTTTCCCTTCAGCCCTCACGTGTCCTCAGCTTGCGCACCCGCATTGCTGGTCCCCATAAGGGCTTGGTTTCCCCCTCCACCCCCTCTCCCCCAGGCTTTCCCTACCTCTCTCTACACAGATTCTTCTGGTTTAGAACTTTGCTCCATCGCGTTCCCCCTTCAGCACCATTTTCTGGCCTTGTCAACTGTCAGCCAAATGTATTCTTTTGCTTACTGAGAAGTTCTTGTTGAGTGCCAGGTCATGGGGATATGCTGGTGAAAAGGTGACCAAGGCTCAGCCCTCAGGGGGTCTGCATTCCGTGGAGTTAGACACACCCAGACCATTAGTGTCCATGGAGTAGACTTGAGGGAGCAAGGGCAGTGAGGGCAGGTAAGAGGGTGAAGGGAGGTGCTGCTCTTGTAGCTTAGTGGTCTGCAGGGACGTGGACTTCGGCCAGAGACCTGGGTAGAGCTAGGGCTGGAGTGCTTCTGTGCTGGTGGAGTGAAAAGGCTGGGCAGGGACCAGCTTCTCCTCCCCTGGAGCATGGCAGGAATTACGGATTTTCTTCTGAGTGTGCAGGGAGCCCCGAGGGGCTGGAGCAGAGCAGCCGTTTGCTATGATAATGGCTGGTGCTGCACTGAAGGCTCTTGCAAGTGAGCCAGGCAAGGGCAGTGCAGTCAAGGTGGCTCCTGGGTGTGGGGCCTTGGGGTCGGGGTGCACAGGGGTGCTGTGACTGAGTCGGGAGAGACCAGGCTGGAAGTGTGTGTGGCGTTGGCGTCTGGGGCATCTGTGGGCGCCGGCTGCTGCTGGGTGCTTGCTGGCAGAACTTGGTGAGGAGTCAGGGCGGCATGCAAACTGAGGGCTGGCTGGCTGGCCGCTGGAGGGCACTTAGCAGGGAAGAGTTCCGAGGCCTGAGCCCGAGTCACCCCCACACAGAGACTGGCACGTAGGAGGCAGGGTGTTGCCAGTGAGTGGAGGACAAACCTCGGGGGCCGGGGGGGCCAGCTGGTTTCCAGTAGCGGGGTGCTTGGAGGCCAGGTCAGGTGCTGCGGACTGCTGGCCGAGTACCTAGGGCCTGGGTCTGCCCTGTGGATGGCCCCTGTACAAGTTGTTCTGGGGTGGGGAGGGGATTTCAGGAGACGGTGGTGAGGGGGTCGGGGCAGCACACACAGTGGGTTCTGCCCAGTGGTCCCGCCTTCAGGGGGCAGCAGTAAAGTGATCTCATAGCTAGAGGCGTGTAGGGCAGAAAGGGGGCTCCTTGTTGGTTTGTTTAGGGGTTAGAGAATGTATGCTTCTGCCTGGCTTCTGCATCACCCCTGTCCCCGCCATTCTGCCGTCACTGCTTATGGCCCCGAGGACATTGAAGAGTCTTCTTCATGGCTGCTCAGTGTCTCACCTTTGGGGCCACCTTGACTGGCTGCTTATCATTGTGTGTCCCCTCTTGCAGCTTGGGGACAGGAGTAGTGCTCTAAGCCTTAGGAGGCTGCGCTCCAGTTCTGATCCTCCTTGGCTTTGTGACCTTGAGTCAGTTGCTTAACCTCTCTGGGCCAGGTTCTTCTGCCAAGCACAGGCATTGAGCTTACTGGGCTCTATCACAGGCTTGGTCTTCGCTCATCCTTCCAGGAATTCACCCACGTCGTGGGAGAGAACGGCTTCCTCCTTGCTGCCCTGGGCCACTGGCTGTGCCAAGAGAGGGAGAAACGTTCTAGGATGTGAAGTGGACCCAGGAGGTGTGAGAGAGTACTTCTGGGGATGAGGAAGGTGTGTGGTTGGAGACAACACAGGCTTGGAGCCGGGACCCTCAACAGTTGTCATGTTCAGAACCTTTGGTCACCTTAGCTTCACAGCTGAGCGGAGAACTAGAAGTGTCCCTCACCCAGGAAACAGGAACTCAAGGAGTGGTCAGATAAGGGGCAAACCCCGTGAAGCTCAGGGAGGCGCTGTGCCTGTGCCGAGGCCGAGCCTCCTTAAGTCTACTGCAGGCTCCTAAGCTCTCCTCACTGCTGAGGTTCATGGCTAGTCCAGGTGGGGCTGCTGTCCCAGCCAGTGCCAAGCTGCTGCTTTGGGGTCAGACAGGCCAGAATCTGCAGGCCGCTGGGGAGGTGTCCACGGACACCAGCCTTCCCTGCAGAGAAGACAGAATAGGGCGAGCTGTGAAGGGGTCTGGCTGGGACCCCTTTCCTTCCCTGTGAGTAAGGTGTATTTTTTTGCTTCAGGTTCCTGTTGTCCTAGTTGGAAGGGCTTGGGTGGCCACAGGTGGGGCTGAATCAGAGACAGGTTTGGACAGCTTTGGTTGCTGGTCCCTTCCATCCTGGGCTTGTCCTCACTGGCCTGCAGCATCAGACTCTGTCCTCGGTGGGAGACCGCAGTGCCCTGGCGAACAGAAGCCAGATGGAAGACCTTGAGCACCGGCCACCCCTTCCTGCCCTCAGAGCCACTACCTAGGACAGTGAGGACTCCTGTCACTGTGTCCCTTGGCTGCTAGGGAGCCGTGAAGTACCTGTAGGTTTCCATTTATAGGTGCAGATGTTTGGTGCTTCCAAGAGGAAGCTGTCATATGGGATCTGTTATTGTTCCAGTCTGTAATCCTTTTGGGAAGGGAGAATACAAGCACATCACAGCACAGTGGTGTCCGAGGGAAAGATGCCTGTGTTCCTTGCGTCTCTCCCCAGCGGGTGGCCAATAAATAGATAGACTCAAGAAGATAATAAAATGGTATTTGTCTTATAAGACTTGTTACTTTTTACTTGGACAGGAGCATGCATTTGAAAAACCTTTATATGAATTGACTCTTAGCACACCATGGAATGTAGTTGGTGCTCAGTAAATGCTGTCTGTCCACTGTGGTGCGGGTTTGGAGGCTGAATTAGGATGGAGGGTCCCCTTCCCCTTGCTGAGGCCTGCTAAGAGGCATGTATGCCATGGGCTCTGGCCACTCTCTCTAGTGGCTTCCCTTCCTTGAGCCCTTGGGTGCCTTTGGGGATGGTGGGGTCCAGAAGGAGCAGTCAGGCCAAGGGGTGTGTGTCATTGTGTTCTTGGGGAGAAATCCATCCTGGGGCTGGGGCCAGGGAGTCCTATCAGCCCCGGCGGCTGTGGGTTTGATCACGGCAGGGTCTGACCTGAAGAGGGACCACTATCTCAGGCCACGGGTACCTTTGGTTTTCATGAATTAAAAGTATTCCTATTGGGCTGTAAGGTTAGCTTAAAAAAATGACTTTTGTGCTCTTCCTTAACAATGCGATATTTAGACTTTGGTCTTAGTTATGCCAAAAATGGAGAACTCCTTAAATACATTCGCAAAATTGGCTCATTCGATGAGACGTGCACCCGGTTTTACACGGCCGAGATGGTGTCAGCTCTGGAGTACTTGCATGGCAAGGGCATCATTCACAGGTATCACACCAGCTGCCTGTGGGCTTTGCTCCCCGGGCCTCGGGGTCAGCTCTGTGGGCTTTTCTGGAGGGGTGGGAGGCCTCCTTGTGAGAAGTAAGGAGAAGTTGATGTCACCTGATGTTGAGACTCATGGGCCTCCCAGTACCAGGTGAAGTTGGTGGCTGGTGGCGCTCTGGGCTGTCCCGACTTGTGCTTTTAGTCCCCGCCTTGTAGCTCGCGGGCGCGCTTCTTTCTGATCTCCGTTTCCGTAACTCTCTGATATTGTCAAATCGAAAGTGTTCGTATGAGCTCTTTTGTTATTGTCGTTGTTACGGATTTTTTTTTTTTTTAAAGATTTTATTTATTTATTTGAGACAGAGAGAATGAGAGAGAGAGAGCACATGAGAGGGGGGAGGGTC